CAGGAGACTTGCTTGAGCCCAGGAGTTGGAGGTTGCTGTGAGCTGTGATGCCACAGCACTCTACCCAGGGGGATAGCTTGAGGCTCTGTCTCCAAAAAAGAAAAATAAAAAATAATCAAGATAAGGAGCTACAGAATCCTAGCACATCAAAGAAATCAAGCAAAACATCCATCTTGGATCAGCGCCCATAGCACAAGCGCCAGCCACATACACCAAGGGTGGCAGGTTCGAACCCGGCCCGGACCAGCTAAACAACTGCAACAAAAAAATAGCTGGGCATTGTGGCAGGTGCCTGTAGTCCCAGTTACTTAGGAGACTGAGGCAAGAGAACCACTTGAGCCCAAGAGTTGGAGGTTGCTGTGAGGTATGACACCACACAGTAGTCTACTGATGGTGAAAAAGTAAAACTCTGTCTCAAAAAAAAGAAAAGCAAAAACATTAAAATAGTGACCTCAGCACATGTTAATAACTGGACTTTAGGCCGGGCGTGGTGGCTCACCTGTGCTCAGAGTTTCAAGACCAGCATGAGCGAGAGTGAGACCCTGTCTCTACCAAAGAAATTGCCGGGCATTCTGGCAGGCGCCTGTAATCCCAGCTACTTGGGAGGCTCAGGCTAGAGAATCACTTAAACCCAGGGATCCAGGGGTTGGCAGAGGTTGCTGTGAGCTATATATTCTACTGAAGGACACAAAGTGAGACTCTGTCTCCATAAAAAAATAAAATAAAATACAATAACCGGACTTTACGTTTTTTCAGTTACTTTACAGTTTATGAAGTGCTTCCCATGCATCATATCATTTACTATGAGACAGGAGTCACTTCATAGACAACAGATAAATCGATGTCTCTTTATGTACACACACACACAGGAACGTACATTTTAAAAAAATCTACTAAACCTATCTCAACTTCTAAGAAATGTGTCAAATAAAGAATTAACAACACCCAATGACAATGATGGCATCGGACTGGATGTGGTGCTGCTAGTACCATTCACACTAGTACTAATAACACCCAGGCAGCCTTATCTCTAGCTTTCCACAATGCTGCCCTCATTCCCAGTAACAGAGGATGCCAAAAGCTACGGGAAAAGGTATGCTTTCTTCCTTTGCTTCATCAGTTGTGATTACGCCACATTATACTTACTTTTAAATCAGGACGCTCCTTCATTTTTTTTGGCTTTTTCTCAGGAGGACCCTTAAGCTTCTCCTTTTCTTGATTCCGTTTAAGCCGCCTCAGTTGCTCTTGAATCCTCCGCCGCTCTTTTCGCATCTCTTCTCGATGCTGTTCATCAAAAAGGGCAAATTTTCGACTGAATAACAGGGAAAGGGGGGAAAGGTGCTTAGGACCATAAGCAAACCTAAACCAATAAGATTGTCTTTATAGCAAACATCTCAGAATTAAAGTAATTCATCCAGGCTGAAATAAAAGGGGCTACCACTTGCCATTCCCATCTCCCTCAGTAGTTAGCCCTCCATTTGCACACAGACACCTTTTCAGAGAAGTCCTAAATAATCCTTAAGATCTTTGCATATCAAGCAAAATGCAGAGGTCATAGAAACAGGTATGCCTTTATTATGTGGCAAATACAATTTTTCTCTGTGATTTGCCTTTGTTCAAACACAATAATCTAAACGTAAGATAGTCTCCAATTACAGGAAAGGGACACAACTGTGAAGAATTCTCTCACTAAAACTCAAAAGTATCCACCCCAATCTCCATTCCCACCAATATTATCATCCTCCCTATCATACTTGAAAGCGGTATGTCAAACTTACATGAATTCTTCATCTTTTGTGGTCCGTATGCGCACATAGGCATCAATAACGGCTGGTTTTCGGACCGTCTCACAGCGAACATACTCTTTCCCCTCTTCATCTCGAAATGTGCGATAAATCTTGAGACAGCGGCCAGTGGCAGAAGAGTTAAGGCTAGTCACAGAAGCTGTGTCATCATCTCTGTGATTGTTTCCTGATGCTGTTGAGCCTGCTGCTGCAAGGCAGAAAACAATTTTCAAACATTCCCCCTACCACCCAAATAGTCATTTTCTTGGGATTGAGTGCCACAAAACCATGGTTCTACAGAAAGCCTAAGGCACCACAGGCCCCAAGAGTACACTCTGACTTATCCCTTTCTGACTTTATTTTACCACTCCAAATTTCTCCATTTTTATAAGTACAAAAAGTCCTGAGAGAATCTCAAAGAACTACATGTTTGCTATAGGAGACATGAGGAGCAATAGTGGTATTCTGATTCCTCTAAACAGGGCAAGAAAAAAAATCAAAGCAGGAAGTAGTTGATCACATTAAGGAAAAGCACCCAACTAAGTACTCAGGAGGAAAACATGACACCACAAAAATAAGTCCAGAGCCTTAAGGCATAAGGTATACTTCTCAAACTTTAGTAAGAATATGAATTATCTGAGGATCCTGTTAAAATGTAGGTTCTAATTCAATAGATCTGGAATGAGGCCTGAGATTCGACATTTTTAACAAATTCCCACATGATGAAGACACTATGGTCTAAGTCGCAGGGGTCCTCAAACTTTTTAAACAGGGGGCCAGTTCACTGTCCCTCAGACCACTGGAGGGGTGGACTGCAGGTCTGGGGATGAGTCAGCTGCTAAGCAGGACAGGCAGCGGTGGCAAAAACACCCAGCGGGCCGGATAAATGTCCTAGGCGGGCCACAGTTTGAGGACACCTGGTCTAGGACCAGACTAGTAAAACTCTAGAGGACCACATTGGTATAAAAGCTATGTTACATCTTTACAAAATAGCCAAAAGAATAAGACTACACAAAACTTTAACAGAAAAGAAACAAACAAAGGGCAGACTACTATGACTGAGAATAGTCATTCAAATCTTCATCTTTGGCCTTTATCCTCTCTTCTCCGTATCTACTTCCAAGTTTTCAACTGCTTGTTTGACATCTATACTCAGGAGCATGATGGGGAACTCAAACTCAACACATTACACATTCTCTTCCTATAACCTTCTTTCTCTGAATTTTACTACTTTGATCAATAGTACCAACATCTTTCTAGTAAGCCCAAAGAGAAATATTAAGGTAGCCTTGATTTTTTTTTCCCTTTTTTATCCCCAATGTCTATATCCAAACCTAATTCAGGGCTTTATCATCATCCCCACCCTCAACTCCTGCAATTTTGGCTAGTAAATCTGGACTCCTTTGGGGGTCTAAGACTCCTTGGGTAATCTTCTGCAAGCCATGAAATTTTCTCAGAAAAATCACATTTGCACAGAACTTTATGTGTAATTTCAGAGGGTACAAGGACAACTCCCCCAGACTAATCCACAAACTTTGTATTAAAAACTCTTATCCTCTAGGACAGTGGTCACCACATGAGGAATTGTATTAAAGGGTCACAGCATTAGGAATGTGGAGAAACACTGCTCTAGGATGAATGCCCAGAAAGCTCATTTGAAGTATAGTACTGATAGGCCTTGCTTGGCCAAGTAACTGATAGAGACAGAGGCAGCAGTGGATTGGCAGCATCTCTTCAATTTTCACCCCAAAGACAAACCTCGAGTCCAGTTTATAGAAAGCTCGCTACTTCATCTATAGGCATTTCTATACTCCTCGCCTACTTCTTCTGCCTCAAGCTTTGCCACAGCTATAGTCTGCAGTTATTTACACTCCATTTTCAATCCTTTTCTTTCTTGTCTGTCTATGAAGCCACAACCCTCACCAAGTAGCATCCGCTGTAGTTCCTTCCTCTCCTGCTCCTCCCGTTCACGTGATAGCTGAGAGCTGGTTTTCTTATTCTGTAACATGTTCTCAATGTTTTTTCCCATTTCTTCAAAATCACTATCTTCAGCTGAGCTGCTGTCTGTGTCAGTTGATAATACTTCAGTTGATGACAAAACCCTAAAAAGAGAAAAAGACATAGCTAATTTAAGAGCAGGATATACAAAAGAACAGAAAGAACAAAGAAATAAGGTTGAAGGTAAAGAATAGAAAATTGGAAAAACTACCTCAAAAAGGCATACTCAAAATCTACTAAGACATGGGACCCCTAACAGAAAAGCTTTACAAAGTTTTCCTAGATATTTAGTCAATAAGGCAAGTTTGGAAAATTACGGTAACTCTTTCAGAACTCCAGGAGAAAACATGAGAAATGAATCCGCACACTGGTCATTTTTAATGACACATTGCTATCTTCTCACAACTAAGCCTTCAGAAAAAACACTACTTGTCATTTGTTACCATTGTTCTGGCTGTTAGGCGCAAGTAGGCTGTTTGAGCACAGAGCTAGGCACATTGACGCATGCCTCTAATCCTATCACTCTGGGAGGCCGAGGCAGGTAGATTGCTTGAGCTTGTCAGTTCACTCGAGCTAATGAGTTCAAGACCAGCCTGAGCAAGAGCAAGACCCTATCTCTAAAAAATAGCTAGGTGTTGTGGCAGGCGCCTATAGTCCTAGCTACTCAGGAGGCTGAGGCAAGTGCTTCGCTTGAGCCCAAGAGTTTGAGCTTGCTTTGAGCTATGATGCCTTATCACTCTACCCAGGGTGACGTAGTTAAACTCTGTCTCAAAAAAAAAAAAAAAAAAAAAAGGAAGAGTTAGCACTGAACCTAGAGCTCAACCCTAGCATCTCTTTCTACTTAAAACTTTTGCCAAAGGCCAGGCACAGTGGCTCATGCCTGTAATCCTAGCACTCTGGGAGGCCGAAGTGGGTGGATTGCCTGAGTTCACAGGTTACAGACCAGCTTGAACCAGAGCAAGGGCATTGTGGTGGCCACCTGTACTCCAGGCTACTCGAGAGGGTGAAAAGAGAATTGCTTGAGCCCAAGAGTTTAAGGTGCTGTGAACTGTGATGCCATGGTACTCTCCCAAGAGCAGTAAGTTAAACTGTCTCAAAAAAAAATAATAATATGGGCACCGGCTACATATACCCAGGCTGGCGGGTTCAAACCCAGCCCTGGCCAGCTAAACAACAATGACAACTGCAACAAAAAACTAGCCAGGGCTCACTGTCCATAGCACAGTGGTTATGGTGCCAGCCACATATACTGAGGCTGGCTGGTGGGTTCAAACCTGGCCTAGGCCAGCTAAACAAATACAACAGGAAAATAGCCGGGTGTTGTGGCAGGCACCTGTAGTCCTAGCTACTTTGGGAGGCTGAGGCAAGAGAATCGCTTAAGCCCAAGAGTTGGAGGTTGCTGTGAGCTGTGACAGCATGGCACTCTCCCGAGGGTGACATAATGAGACTCTGTCTCAAAAAAAATAAAAACTAGCCAGGCCCTGTGGTGGCTGCCTATAGTCCCAACTACTTGGGAGGCTGCGGCAAGGCAATCGCTTAAACCCAAGAGTTTGAGGTTGCTGTGAGCTGTGATGCCATGGCACTACACTGAGGGCGACACAGTGAGACCGCATATTTTTATGTCTCAAAAAATAAATAAAAACTTTTGCCAAATTGATTTGAAGAGAACAGGTACTCAAGCACTATTATTACAAACAGATACTATTCTGACATCTCAAATATCTGACCACTAGTCTTATTTTTAGGTGACTTCCTCTTCATTTTTATAAAATACTGTCTGGGACCCTTCCCTTTTCCAGCATAGATTTTTATAGCATTAAAAAACACACTTGTTCTGTAGATCAAAGATGCGCTGACATTCCTCTTTATAACGCTCCTGATGTTCAGCCACAGAAAACCTTGATCCACGGGCAAATTTACTCATGGGCCCCTCTCCAGAGCGGGCCTGTTCTGTTGACATTGTACGCACTACATCGATCACTTCCCAGCGGGACAACTTCTTAATCTGTGAAACAAACCAACACACACATAAATATATAAAACACAAATCATGCAGGGACTTCAAAGGAAAAACCAACCCACACAATTAGAGCTAGACTACAAAAGAAAAATCATTTTAAGACAGATTAAAAAGAAAGCTTTTAGAAATCTAACTCCTGTAAATCAAGTATCTAAGACCCAGCACACCACAATCTACACCACAAAATTCTCCAGATTATTCTTTACAACTGCCACCTAGCTTTTTCTCATCTGTACAAAGCTCCCAGGATCCTCATAAGTTTTCATCTTCCACACTCACCTCTTCCTCAGGCACGCCAAATTTACGCAAAAGTTGCTTTGCATTTTTCAGGGAAAGGCGACGGAGGTCTGCATCTGTTCCTGTCACTGTCTTTTTCACTGGCTGAGGTTCCTTATCATCCTATCTCAAACAAAAACAAGTGAGAATCCTAAGAAAATGAACTCTTTATAGTAGCCATCTAATCATTCTTCCAATTTAACCATTTTCCTGGTCTTCCACTTATTTCATTCACCTCCACTCAACTTCTACTTCTTCATTCTATGATTTTCTTCTTCTAGAAATTCAGACCATCTTACCTTCTGCTGTGTTGGCTTATTTGGAATCTTCACATAGGAGAATCCTTCACCACACCCTGTGGGATCTGCCACCCCAGTCACCTCCAGGAGACACTTGCCCTTCATGGCAGCAATGAAGGCCCTTGTGGTGTTCCAAGGAGCAGTGCGAACCTAAGGGACAGAAAAAAATTCTCAGGGCCATAGGAAACATTTGCTCTATGCCTAACCATTAATTAGAAGGATGGAATAATTGTAACGAACAATTTGATACTTTTTCTTTTTGAGACGGAGCCTCAAGCTGTCCCCTTGGGTAGAGTGCCCTGACATCACAGCTCACAGCAACCTCCAACTCCTGGGCTCAAGCAAGTCTCCTGCCTCAGTCTCCCAAGTAGCTGGGACAACAGGCACCCGCCACAACACCTGGCTATTTTTTGGTTGCAGCTGTCATTATTGTTTGGAGGGCCTGGGCCAGATTTGAACCTGCCACCTTAGCCACTTGAGCCACAGGTGCCGAGCCAATTCGATACTTTCTTAACTGTTCACAAAGATCAACAATTAAACATGACTGCCTAGTACTCATGAAATCTTCTTTCATATGTATGATACTTAAATCATGGCATTATATAAAAGGCCAAGAGCTTAGCCAGGGTAGAGAAATATGAGGAAGCCCCATATCTCTGGGGCTTCACTGAGCATTCTCAAGGAAAAGGTATTTTTCCCTACCATCACAATACTCAAAATTAGACTGATGACTGAATTTGATAGTACAATTGTTCAAATAGCATCTTTAGAATGACATATACATACTCATGGGCGGCGCCTGTGGCAGTGAGTAGGGCACCGGCTTTGAATCCAGCCCTGGCCAAATTCTAACAAAAAATAGCCGGGTGTTGTGGTGGGCGCCTATAGTCCCAGCCACTCAGAAGGCAGAGGCAAGAGAATCACCTAAGCCCAAGAGCTGGAGGCTGCTGTGAGCTGTGAGACCAAAGCACTCTACCAAGGGCAAGAAAGTGAGACTCGGCTCGGCGCCTATAGCTCAACCGGCTAAGGCGCCAGCCACGTACACCTAAGGTGGCGGGTTCGAATCCCCAGCCTGGACCCGCCAAACAACAATGACGGCTGCAACCAAAAAAAAAAAAAAAATAGCCGGGCGCTGTGGCGGGTGCCTGTGTTCCCAGCTACTTGGGAGGCGGAGGCAGGAGACTCGCTTGAGCCCAGGAGTTGGACGTTGGTGTGAGCTGTAATGCCACGGCACTCTACCCAGGGGGACAGCTTGAGGCTCTGTCTCAAAAAAAAAAAAAAAAAGAATGACATATACTTTCTCAAAATAGACTATATATGTGATTTCAAAGCACTGGCCCCCAAACCCAGCTGCACTAAATCAAAGTCCATTTTTCTACCTCTGCCACTGGTTTGGTCAAAAGGCATGTACTCCCCTGGGCCCCTGAAAAGTGTTTATCAATCCCACAAAATAATAAAGAGAATTAAGACAAGGGGAAAATGTGCTTGTTCTCACAAACTAGCCAGTAAATGGACAATTCTTTCTTCAAGATTCAATCTACAACGACATTCAACAGGATCTTTAAATTCTAAATTTCTTAGATATTCACGCATTTTTTCATTCCAACCATGAAAAAAATAGTAGTACGACAATGCTTTGCTCATTCCATCTTACCTCATTTTCTGCTCTTTACAATCATTTATGCACTTAACAAATATTTATTCAATATCTACTACATGCAGGCACTACATTCTCATGAACTATACCAGTGAGAAAAAAAAAGTCAACCAAGTTCAATTTTATGTGATCAGAATAACGCAGACTCCATCTCTACAAAAAAAATTAAACAACTAGCCAAATACTTAGGAGGCTGAAGTAATAGGATTACATGAACTCAGGAGTTGAAAGCCGCAATGAACTATCATCTGGCCCCTGCACTCCATCCAACATGGATAACAAGGGAGAACCCCAGACCCTGTCTCAAAAAAACAAAACAAACAAACAAGCAAAGAAAACCAAAACACCAAAGAAAGAAAAATTGGTGCTATATATTCACATCTGGCCCCTGCACTCCATCCAGCATGGGTAACAAAGTAAGAACTCCAGACCTGTCTCAAAAAAATAAAACACCAAAGAAAGAAAAATTGGTGCTATATATACGTAAGGAAGGAGAATATTTATCATGCCATCCCAATCTCCTAATCCCAGGATAAGAATAAGAGAAAGAGTCTAAGAGAATAAAACTTGTAGGCGAAGCCCAGATGAAAGAGGAAAGGAAAAAAAAAAAAACATATCCAGGGGAAATAACAGTTGCAAAATACTGGAAGGCAAGATAGACATTTAGGGAACTGAATGAACTTCAGTATGTTTGGACTTTATAGTATAAGATGGGCAATGACAAAAGATGAAAGGAAGTTAGAGTTATATGCAAGGACCAAACCATTTTGAATCTTGTATATTGTATTTCTGCTTGTTTGTTTGTTTAATACAAAATGAGAGGCTGGGTGCAGTAGCTCATGCCTATAATACTAGCACTCTGGGAGCCGAGGCAAGTGGATTGCCAGAGCTTATGGGTTCAGGACCAGTCTGAGCAAGAGCAAGACCTTGTGCTCTAAAAATAGCTGGGCATTGTGGTGGGCACCTGTAGTCCCAGCTACTTGGGAGGCTAAGGCAAGAGAATCACTTGAGCCCAAGAATTTGAGGTTGCTATGAGCTGTAACACCTTGGCACTCTGCCAAGGGAGACAAGGTGAGACTCTCTCAAAAAAAAAAAGAAATGAGGATCCAGAGAAAGTTTTGAGGACAGAAAAATGGTCTTCATAGAATTTTTGAGTTTTCCCTTTTTTTTGTTTTGTGAGATAGAATCTCACTCTGTTGCCTAGGCTAGGGTCCTACAGCATTAGCTTGTATCACAGCAAACTCAAACTCCTAGGTTCAAATGATACTTCTGCCTTAGCCTCCGGAGTAGATGGGACTATAGGTGCTGCCACCATGCACAGCTCACTTTTTTTGTTCTTGTTATTTTTTAGGAGAGACTGGGTCTTGCTCTTGTTCAGTCTGGTCTCAAACTCCTGAGCTCAAGTGATCCTCCTGCCTTGGCCTCCCAGAATGCTAGGATTATAGGCATGCAACACCATATCTAGTCTATTCTATAATTATTCTTGTTTTTTGGTTTTTTTTTGAGACAGAGCATCAAGCTGTCCTCCTGGGTAGAGTACCCTGGCATCACAGCTCACAGCAACCTCCAACTCCTGGGCTCAAGTGAGTCTCCTGCCTCAGCCTCCCAAGCAGCTGGGACCACAGGTGCCCACACAACACCTGGAAATTTTTAGAGACAGGATCTTGCTCTAGCTGACGGATCTCAAACTCCTGAGCAAATGATCATCCTGCTTCAGCCTCCCATAGTGCTGGGATTATAGGCGTGAGCCACCACATCTGGCCTAATTTGTCTCATTTTTTGAAGAGAGTGGGGGTCTCACTTTGCTCAGGTTGATCTCAAATTCCTGTCCTCAAGCAATCCTCCTGCCTTGGCCTCCCAAAGTGCTAGGATTATATGTGTGAATCACTGTGCCTGGCCAAAATTTTGTTTCAAGAGATCAATCAATTCTTTAACAAATGGTGCTGGAATAACTGAATATTCATATGCAAATAATAAACATTAGGGCGGTGTGGTTCAGGGAGTAGAGGACTGGCCCCATATACCGAGGGTGGTGAGAGCCAACCCAGCCCCAGCCAAACTGCAAAAAATAATAAAAAATAAATAAACCTTAATCTATACCGTACCCTATACAAAATTCACTTAAAATAGACCTAAATATAAGATCAAAAATAATGAAAATTTTAGTGGAAAACAAAAGAAAATCTCTGTGACTTGGTATTAAACAAAAATTTCTTAGATACAACACCTAAACCACAAGTGACAGAATACTGAGAGGTTGGACTTCATAAAACACTGTGAAGACAATTAAAAGACATGCCACAGGGGCGCCTACAACTCAAGGAGCTAAGGCACCAGCCCAGTACGTACACCAGAGCTGGTAGGTTCGAATCCACCCCAGGCCCGCCAAACAACAGTGACAACCACAACCCAAAGATAGCCGGGCCTTGTTACAGGCACCTATAGTCCCAGCTACTTGGAAGGCTGAGTCAAGAGAATCGCTTAAGCCCAAGAGTTTGAGGTTGCTGTG